CTGAGTTAACACACCTATAGTATTCAAATAACGGAACTTAACAAATAAAGGGTATACAGATGAATGTCCATTTTGTATCTGTGTATTCAAAGTGGTTAGGATAGATATATAGTTACATTGTCTTAATGAATAGAGTGATTTGTTCTGATGGTGTTTGTAGATAGGATATCATGTCCGCATCTTGTACAGCAATTAACCACTGAGAGGAATGTATGCAATGTGTTAATTATTGAAACTATCCTACCAGTTTGATTTGAAACTGTCTCATTGCTATTTGTTTATCAATAAAATTATGGGAAAAATACATTAAAAATTTTAAAAAATAAAAAATAAATAAATGAATAAGCCCTGAAGGGCAAAGCCAAAATAGGACAACAGTGCTACCTCCCTCGACCTCAAGCGGGAAATGCTTGTCCGGTGACTCGAATTATGTGCTGCTCTGCACCAGCCCATGAACGGTGGCAAAAACACAGCAAGTTCTAATTTTGCACTTCCAATAAAATTTAGAGTAGGTGAGTCTGCAGTGAGGAATTCTTGAATCCTGAAGATCAGTTGCCAGTGAACGTCTTCCTATGACGAAGCTAGCCTAAGTTTTGATTTCATTTTTGTCAATGGAGTAAACTGTATGTTGATCCAGTGGCTTCTCTCCAGGCTTCAGACTGAGGATATGGAACCGAGTGATGTTTGGCTTCACAGAGGATGAGTCTGTCAATGTTTTGTGACTGGGCAGAAGGAGCCATGTCTCGCTCTGTAGACTTCAGAAGTACAATGTGGCAACCTTACCCTGTGTTTTTGTGAAGGTGAATGTTCTGGATGAGGACAGCATGCTCATGAGTCTAGAGTTCAGCATCCGGGAAACGACGTGCTTGAGAGACTCCGGAGAAGACCCGTCTGCGTGTGCCTTCCAGAGGGGCTATGACGTGGTGAGTGTGGCAGGAGAGGACCTGGGCCCAGGAGCTAGCAGCAGGAGGGCGCTGCTGCTTCCCTGACCCCCAGCAGAAGGGGCTTGGCTACTGCCTGGGTGTCACCAGACCATGCCACAGAGACCTCGCAGTGTCCCTAGTGGTGACAGTGGTTGAGGACATGAGCTCTTGAGCCGTGTAATCTGTAGTCCTAAGGGATCCTGGGAAATTCTTTAACCTTTGTGCCTCAGTTTCCTGTTAAAACGAGGATGAGGGAGTCTGGGAGTGGAGGAAGACGGGAGATGGGGGGAAGGGGAAGTAACAATGATTAGGGTGCAGTACAGATACTACCAACGCCTCAAGACGAGTGCAGTTATTAGGGATTACAGATATGCACTAACAAAAAGGAAACTAATAATTATAATGAAGTGGAGATCAGGTAAAGTGAGTACAAAGAGTCCAACCCTAGAGGAAAAGCTAGACACTTCGCCATTTCTATTACAGGCAAATGCACAATGCAAGCTTTTTCTCCGCACAAGTCATGTTATTTTGTAGCCACCCCTACACAGGACGCGCCCCCTGTTGGTCCAGGCTCCCATTGGTTGAGTCGGCCGCATGGCACGTTCATTGCTGAGTCCCTGAGACCAGAGTGGGACCCGACCTTCCGTCAGCTCCCGTGGGTAGAAACCGTGCCTCCGAATCCGCTCTCCCTGTGTTCCCATTCACATGCAGGACTTCTCAGGCCCTGGCCACTTCCGACAGGATTGTTATTTGTTTTATGAGGTTCCCAATAAAGCTCTGTTTTACTCAAGACCCAACCCGAAAGGTCCCGACGCCTGCTTCTGGGAAAATCCGAGCGCAGAGTCCCGTGAGCCCGTTATCGCCTGCTGCAGAACGCGGGCAAGCCGTGCAGCTCCGCACCCACGAGGGCGGCCACGCACATTTCCCCCGGAGGCTTGTGATAGCAGAGCCTCCGAGATACTTAAAGATTTCACCCGTTTCCGCGTAGCTTTCTTCGTTTCGGAAAGTTGGAGTGCCTCTGTGAGTTCTCCCCTGCGGCATCCTGTTCCAGCCCCCAGGCCTGCCCACCGCGTGGCGCAGGGGCGGGCCCCGCTGCCCGGCTGGGGAAGTAACTCAGGCCTTGTCTCCTCCAGCAAAGCGCAGCGTGCAGAAGCACCGTGCGGATGGCGGGCGGGCAGGCGCAGCAGGTGCGGGCTCACTGCCGCTGGGCCGACACGTCCGAGTCCGACAGCAGCGAGGAGGTACGTGGGGCTCCCTGTGCGAAGCCGAGGGTTTCACAGGGTGGCTGGCTCGCCACCCAGGCCTGGGAGGCGTGACTGCTCGCGCAGGGGCTCTCCCTTGGACAGCCCCAGCCTCCTCTTTGTGCCTCGGACTTCTTCCAGCCTGCTCTTCCTTCTGTACCCATCCGCAGTGCGCGACGATCGTCACGTTCATCGTGCGGAGCTGCCCGGTGTGCGCAGCACATCTTTTTTTGTCTCTTTCCCCTCCCTCCTCTCTCTCTTGGCCCCCTTCCCTCTTGCGAAAGAGAGATTACCTCACTTCCTAGCATCTGTCTTTTATTTTGCTCTGCATTTACATCCTGTTTTCTCATACAGGAGAAAACACGTACTCAAGGGTCAGTGTCACTTAAGAACACAGCCTCAAGGTGCATCCATTCTCTGGCAAACGACCCAGATCTGTCCTTCTTTAGGGCAAAGTAGTACTCCACTGTGTGAGAATACTTTTCTTCTCTCCTGTCTTCTTTCTGAGATTTGGGACCCGATTTTAAAGCGACAGTGAGCACAATGGGAGTTTTAGATCTAAGTGCGTACATGAGTGGAATGAAGAAGGGAGGGTTTGTTGTCATCTTCCTGCTCAAAGCTCTCTGCTAGATCTGCAGAGTGTGTCCCTGTCCTTAACCTTCATTATCTGCAGCTCAAATGCTAGTAACAAAGTCCACCCTAGATGGCAGCTGAGAATCAAGGACGTTCATGGAAACCAAGCCCTGTGGCAGCGTCGGGCTCCCAGTAAGCGCTCCATGAAGGACAGAGTTCTTTTTTCTCTCCCCAGATGCATCAGAAATGGCTTGCAAAAATACTATAAAATTAATAATATAAACTTCTGACTTGAAATAACCATCGTGCATATTATTTATCTATTTATTGACTGCTTTCCTTGACAGGAAGGCTCCTTAGAGCAGGAAGTGTTTGCTTTTGCCTGGCCTAGGACAGTGTTCAACACAAGGTAGATACTTGGTAAATTCTTGCTGAATGAATACAAGAAAGTTAGGCAGGAAATGGTCAAGAATACAGTAGGAAGATGAAGATTCTTAACTCTAAACTAGCGATAAAATTATCACAGCTCTATCATGAGTTCATTCATCATTGGACAATATTCGTGGCAGATATTTCCATTTTTTTCCCTGCTGTTATACAGCTGAGCCTGTCCAGTACTTCTTTCTACATTGTAAAATTTTTATTCAATTTTCCAAAACTTAATTCTGTAGTGAAAATTATGGTAAAAGAGTATAAAATTTCATCTCCAAGAATGCCACATAAGGGACCAGGGAGATAGCTCAGTAGAATAAGAGCTTGCCTGGCAAATGCAAGGGCCTGAGTTCAATCCCCAGTTCCAAAAAAAAAAAAAAAAAAAGAATGACACATAAAAATCAACATCTCTATGTTATTTTCATCACCATCCTTAAACCATTTGCTAAGGAAGTCCATTGTAGAATTAGGGAACCATGAAACTTATGACTGAGGATCCCTATGCATTTTAGTTGTTTTCTCTTTGTTGGGACAAAATACCCAACACCCATAAGTTAAATGAGGAATTTATTTTAGCTCAAAGTTTGCAAAAGTTTCAGTCCATCGTTAGCTGGTTCTAAGGCAGAGCAGTGTGGCAGAAGGGTGCCACAAAGGAGGAACCGTCCATGGCAGGCAGGCTGGCAGGCAGCAGCAAACACTGAGCCTGCTACCCCTTTATAGTCTGTCCAAGATACAAGCCTGTTTGTTGGTGCCATTCACACCCAACATGGGGCTTCTGTCTTCACAAAATTCATCCAGGCATGCTTGGAACCACACTAATTCAATCAGTGGACTACTCCAACTGTGATGCACTGGAAATCCGGTATAACATGCCTTAGCTCCAGCCACCTCTAAAAAGCCCCACCTCTGAGTACCCGAGGCTTTGGGGAGACACAGAAATATGAGCTCTGATACTATTGCAAGGACAGTCTTCTCGGTGCAGAAAGAAAAAGAATTGAGTTGGCACACTCTTACTGGTTGGTCTCATTCACACCGGTGACTTTGGAGGGCCAGCAACCTGCAGGTGATTTCTGAGCTTGCCACACCAGGCTTTAGCCGGTATAAATACCAAGGATCTTCTCACCTAACTCCGTGACACACTCATGCTTCACTGTGGAACACTCACGCATGCTTAACTCAGAAATGACGAGGACCGCTTGCATCATTTACTAGAATTTTATTAGTGTGGTTTTATTCTAGTTTATGGGGGAACAGAGTCAATGGGGGACTCGACAAACATAGCAGTAGTCCTTGTAGCAAGTAATAGACTGGCATGGGGAAGGCATCACTTAGGCAGAGGTTGCTCCACCATCAACACAAGCACTTGGGACCACGGAGTGAGAAGAATGAGCATCTGAAGGGAAGGCGTCTGCTCTGAGGTGCAGGCTTCTGGACAAAGCATCGGAGGACTGATGGAAGTCAGAAGGAGACGACCCATGGTGTGGAGGGCAGAAATCACATTGGACACCCCAAAATGCAGCAGAAAAAGACAGAAGTTGGGCTGGAATGGATAGAGATGGACATCGGTTGGGTTTAATTATGCAGAAATCTGGCAGGATTGGAATAAAAAAAATCTGAGCCAGAAGTACACAGGTGAGTGGGAGGTGAGTGCCACTGTGCTTCAGGTCGTGGAAGGTGTCCCTGGCTTCCTCACAGTGAGGTGGAGGGGACTGAAGGCCTTTAGGCAGGGATGCAGACCCAGGGCAAGAATTTATTTGAAGGAGGATAGTATAAATATTGAGACTGAGGAGGTGAGAAGAGGTGGTGGGAGAGAAGGCTAACTGCGCAACCACAGGGAGAATGGATTCTAGTTCATTCCATGACTTTCAGTGAAATTGAACTGACCTTCATAAATGTCACCTAGTCTAACCCCTCTTCTTACTTTGGTTGGAGAAAGCCACTCTGATTGTGCAACTCCAAACTCTGTTGCCACTTTCTAAGTACATGGAAGGGCACTTTCTTTCTTCTCGTTCCAAGTTTTCTGCTGTGATGCTGAACTATCTTAGCCCTAGGAACAAACTAGATTTTGAAATGAGCTTCCATGCTGCTTGTCGTTAAACATTAGGAGACCGTAAGGCTTGACGAGCAAGCTAAAAAGCAAAGAATTCCACACATTTAAGAATTCTGCATTTTAAAAGAACAAAAACAGATAATGGATTTCTTTTTAAATTTTTGTTAAAAATTAATGGACAAATAATATTTGTATGCAAGGCATAATGAAGTGTGTACATTTTATAGAAACAATTCTTACTCAGAACAGAGAAAAACAGAACACAGCTATAACTAGTTTCAGTAACATACACAGAGATATCACAAACATGAAAGACAATAGGTTGGAATGATTTTGTGTTAGTA